ATATATATATATATATAGTTATATATATATATATATAGTTATATATATATATATATATATATATATATATATATATATATATATATATATATATATATATATATATATATATATATATATATATATATCAAAAACTGGTACTAACAGCTGTTTTGCGAAATTGAGAGCAATTTCAAATCTGTTCGGTTTTTTTTACACACCTATAGCTGTATAAACAGAATTTAGAATGGCAATAAATGAGATCAAAATGTTATGCTCTATGAAACCGCGTATGCTTCCTTTCGCCCGAAGAATTGTGTCTTGTTTTTTTGTTTTTGTCAAAACATTACTGCTGAAAGCTAATATCAGAACAAATTCCAGCACTCCGCAGACCAATCAGATGTCGCCATTTCCAAATTGTCGATTTCACGATGTTTGGAATGCATATAGTCGCATTCCCGAATGTTTTGACCATTCTGTGGCTTTGACACGAAAATATGGGCGTCCGAAGCGGGCAAAATTATGAACGCATAAACAATAAACCAATACACGCACTAAACATTTGAACACTCGCACTAAACATTTGAACACTCACACTAAACATTTGAACACTCACACTAAACATTCGAACACTCACAATAGAAATTCGAACACTAACAATAAAAATTCGAACACTCGTATGAATTTCGAATTGGCATTCCACAAATTCCACAATGCACACACAATATTCGAAGTGTCGCACACAGAACATTCGAAAAAATCTCGTTAATTTATGCAGCTGTTTACTTCTAATTTACGCGACGGTTAATTTATATATACGGGGGGAGGGAAACTCTGTTTGTTCACGCGGGAAAGCTGGGAAATACACACTAGAAATATACAACCAAGATGGCGGTTCGCTGGTTGCAAATCGGCTTCTATATTCTGTCTTTCTCACACAATTGCCAACCCCAATCCCTGCCGACGAGTCCATGAAGGACGAAACGCCGCGTACAGGGATACTGAAATTTACACAGATGACTTTCTCATATATCTCGCTTTATATATTTTTAAATACATGCCTCCATACAAGCTTTTTAGTACAGCGCGATCATACTCTTTGGGTCTGATCATTTACACAACAGGATATATTTTACTCTTACAATTTCACACATACATCTCCAATTTTATGTTCCACAAGTCTATAACCTACACTTATATTTCTTAGGTTCACATTTATACAAATACAAGTGGTTTTTTATCTTTTATCCTCAGGTTTTTCAAATCACATTTTTTCACAGGCGTACATTGTGCCAACAACACGAGGCCATTACCCTATCATATTTCACACTACAATTTTCCATCTAACATTTAGGGACTATTGTGGCATAAAATTATTACTAGGACACCAATAGGGTTCTCATTACCTACATCTAAACCTAAAAAAAACCCAGTTAAAACGTTTTGCGGCTGTGGTGCAGCATTTCTTGGCAAACGAAATCTTTCATTTATCTCGCTATTCACAGAGGAATGCTGCCTGGAATTGGAGCCACTTTGCTCTGCTACGAAAAGCTCTCCCAAAAATACTTCGTACTACAGATTGTATTTGCGTTTCGGAGCAAGCACCTGTTGGTTGCTCCGCCATGCTTGATCAATTGAGCGAAATTTCCCAGCTTTCCCGCGTAAACAAACAGAGTTTCCCTCCCCCCGTATGTATAAATTAACCGTCGCGTAAATTAGAATAAAATATGTAACAGCTGCATAAATTAACGAGATTTTTCGAATGTTTTGTGTGCGACACTTCGAATATTGTGTGTGTGTATTGGGGAATTTGTAGAATGCCAGTTCGAAATTCATGCGAGTGTTCGAATTTCTATTGTGAGTGTTCAAATGTTTAGTGTGAGTGTTCAAATGTTTAGTGCGAGTGTTCAAATGTTTAGTGCGTGTATTGGTTTATTGTTTATGCGTTCATAATTTTGTCCGCTTCGGACGCCCATACGAAAACATGACACTTTTACTGGGCAAGAAGAGGGACCGCGGTTTGGTAATACTTCATCCCGTAATTACAGCCAGTTAATGTAACTTCAGAAACGGTCAAAGTCGACCAATCAGAATATGGGAAAACACTAACGAGAGATCTGAGAAAGCCGTATATCCAGTATTATTTTCAATTAGTTTGATTTACATTGCTAAAATCGTATCATGTACAACTAGTAATATTAAAATAACAGTAATGTCAATCCGATTTTTTCTTTCGTTCATTGCCCGATGTACTGGCTGTTTGATCAGGATGACGCAAGAAAATCGCAGCAAGGCTGTTCTCGAGAGGGGCGAGAGGATCAGTTTGGTCGGTAAAGAGAAAGAGCAGTTGAAATGTGAGCATGAGAACTGTGAATATTAGTGACAAGCTGGAGAGGTTGACATTCAACATGCCTTTCACTTGCAGGGTGAAAACACAACTCATCAGAATGGAGAATTTTGTCGTGCTAAATAAATGAGAAAACGGCACATAAATCATTAATAGCAAGCTTTTAATTTTGCCGGGATCCTACTGTTAATTTAAAGTTATGCTTCAATCAAGCCCCACCCCCTTTTTATCAATGTCCCCCTTTTTCAAAACTTTCCAATAATCCCTTTTGTCTTTTTTTGAGACGGTTTACCCACCCCTTGGGGGATCAAACAACGAAATTTAGTGTTGAAAACTTACAAAGTAGGTCGGTGAAACTCAATACGAGGTGTTCCGAGTCCAACGATTTGATGAACAAAAGGTTTAAGCACCATACTACCGCAACCTGAAAAAATTATAAATCTATGACTAAAATTGATTGATTACATTATTTATTGGCACAAACTGAATTTCCCTGGTAGAAATCCTAAATAATATCCTAAGAGAATATTAGGATCCCGCAACAAGAACCTTATATGATCCAGGCAGGATACTAGAAAAAATCTCTTGTCAGGATTGTGGTTGCATTACAATGTGATAGTAGAATCACTCCACATTCCCATCGGGGTCCTATAATGCACGATCTTCACAGGATCGTGTAAAATTCTACTATTAGAGAGGTTAAGATATCCCGGTTTCGGTGTACGGGTACGAGTAGTGTCATCGTGTTTACTAGTTTTTACCGATGTCTGTAATTCGATCATACTTTTCTGTTTTCTTGCAATAGACAATGATATGATGCGAAAAATGTGCACCTTAATTACGAGTAAAGGTACAGACATCGACGAAAATATTGCTAACCAAAATCATGCTACTCGTACCCGTACACCGAAACCGGGGTATCTTAACCTCTCTAATAACTCCCAGGACCTTGTGGATCTTGCCAGCATCCAATAGAATATTTCCAGGAGCCTACCATATTTGTATAAGTGGATTCCAGGTTTCAACGAACATCCTTTAGTAAATATGCAGGTTAGAATTGACAAAACATACCTCTAATACTACCACCAGCAATGATAACAAACCAAGCATTAGGGAAAAGCGAAGCAGCAAGTTTCAAGCCAAAAAGAATACACTTTATTCTATATACTTCTTTAAGTACAATCAAGGCAACCTTAATAATTAAGAAAACGTTATGCACTGCATGCATGGACCTGTCATCTCAATACATGTATCTGAAGGGGAATTTCAGGTATTACAAGTGAGCGAAATATGACAGGAATTAAAGGAGCTATTGAGCTCAATTATTTTTTATTGAAAATAATTCAAGAGTTTTGATTGGCTAAGAGCTGTTGGTAAAATCATCATATACGCTCGGTAGCTGCCCAAATTTGGAGTTATGACATCACCGTGGAATATTGAAAACAAATATACCACGTTTGACGTAATTTCATGGTATATTAAAAACAATGTAACACGCTATGACGTCACGCTACTTTATGCGGCTTATGCCAAAAGCGGGAAAATACAAATGGCTTCCTCAAAGGAAAGGTTCGCCGACCTTTTTTGTGTATTCCAACAAACAAATAATAAAACAATTATTGAATTCGGTTCTCGCAGAATACGAGGATTTATTAAGGCATCGGTTTGTGTTATCTGGCTCAGCCTTCGGCAGATAACACAAACCTCGGCCTTAATAATTCCTCATATCCCACTCGACCTCATTCAACAATTGTTTATTATACTGTATGTACTTTAATCTCAGTTCTTTGCCCACTCTTTACTCCTCAGTTTATTTTTATTATTTATCTTAGCATTTTGCCGCTATGCTGCCGCATACTTCAAAAAGCTTTCGAGAACTACAAAAATTGTTAAAATTTGAGCTTGAACGGCTTAATCTTTGGTGCAAACAGCTCTAAAATATGAGATAAGTGTCTCTACAATTTGTTTACAGTATACTTGTTGTTTGCATGCTTGTAACACGAAATGCCATCAAAGGTTTTTAAAGCGTATTTTGGCATGTTGGCCGGTCGTCTATTTGAATTTTTCCGTTAACCTAGGAGTAAGTTAACCGGCTTTAGGTCAACTAGCGCCAGAAGGTCTTCTCTGTTACCTACTATATTGCGCTTTCTTCGTAGGCGAGGATAAAACTTTTTTCTGATTCTTGGTTAATAAGTCCAAGTCCTAGTTAGATACTAGCTAAACAAATATTTTCCAAGAAATTTGTATTTGTATATGTACAAGTTGTATTTTCTAAAGTTTTGAAACAAACAGACGTGCAGAAATACACAGGCTACATCAGCAGGTTAATTATTGGCACAGCCGGGGTTAGAGCTATATAATCTATATATTTGAACAACCGGCCCCTGGTTCACCTGGATCTGAGTTACTGTATCATATAACCAGAAGTTTCCTTGTTCAAGAGCTACAATTAGTAATCTAATTTACAAGAAATATAAATGAATTCAGTATTTACCCGAATAGGAATGAATGTTAGAAGCCTTGTAAAAAGATCCAAAGGACAGAAATGCATCAAATACCTGAAATAAATAAGAAAACCATGTTTAATTATGCACAGTATTTGATCCTGAATCTTCATCAGTGCAAATAATATAAGAAAAGATTTCAAATAAGACATATTTTAACCCATTAGTGACTATCCCTTGACAAGTAAAATTGTCTGGCGTTAGACAGAGTAAAATAACAAACTTAGTCAGTCGCACTTGGGCGAACCTAAAGACACCGTGACCGGTGTATAATGAAACGTTATTTTGAATTAGCCGATCCACCAGATTCCCTAGAGATGCCTGTGGAGGAGGTTAATTTTGAATGGATGTGAATATTTTCGTTCAAAATGTAACATGACTCAATATGGAATTACACAATGCAAACGTTGTTTCAAATCTTTATTTAGCAACCGATTTCAAGCAGTATTCGGTATCATGTGATTTTACCTGGGCCCTAATCTTTCATTTGGTCATCCACTGTAAATTGATTTCAAATAACATGTCCGCTAGATAAAACAGTTGGCTCACCAGATTAAAATAAGGATGAGGATAAGGTTGCTATTTTCAAATGGTTTAGCAAGAGGAATTCCCAACATTAGATTTTGAATAACTGAACCAGCAAAACAGAGCAGTACTGATGACAAAACACTTCCAAATGGATTGTTACTTGCAAAACTGGATCCTACAATAAATAATAAAAAAACCCAGAAGATGCATGCAAGCTAGAAGTCCAGCGGCAGAGACATATGGCAGACATGCCTTTGTTTGAGATATCAATTTTTTGTTACAATTATTTTTTTGGTAGCTGTGCATTCTTCAACTAAACAATTGAACATTTTTTACGTGGTAACCCTGCACTTAAGGTATACCATGAAGGTTTCGGGTTCGAATTAGTGAGGTAAAAAGGGCATGCAAATTTTCCTATTATTAATTTTGCAGAGTGGAAACACAGACAAAGCACTAGTCATGTTCCTGTTCTGTCTGTCTATTTTGTTTTCCATGAACGTCATCCTATTTTTTTCACTATATTTTTTTGACAAGGTTGTTTTTCTTGTATTTCGCTAAATTTTGCACGTGTTGATTCCATAGTTGATTCTCGACAAATAGTTTCGTCGCCATAACAAATCAACAAAACTGCAAGTATTGCTAACCACTTCAGTACCGCTGGTATTCTTCACCAAAACAAACATTTTAGAACAAACTAAACTGAAGTTATAATAACAAGTGTTTAAAATCAGGAAAACTTGGGAAGATAGAAGAATAAAAGCACTTAAAGCAGTAGAGAAGAATAAAAGCACTTACTTAAAGCAGTAAAAAAGTCAAAAAACACTTTCCAGCGTGAAAACAAAATCTTTCAATTAGTTATCTTGGTGTTTTCGGTAAAGAATGTTCTACCTTCATAGAAATGCTTAATGATTTTGGTTTTGAAAATATCATCAGAATTACTGTATTAGAAGAATGACGACGATTGCAATCCGAACAATGTATTATTTTTTTGTTACCGAAACAAGGAATGGATGAATCCAGAACTGTTAACTGTTCAAACGTTGTACTGCATGTCGATATGTTATCTTAGTTATTTGTATATATTACCAGTAAGTAAGTAGCCAGTTGTAAATTACCTTTAAAAAGTGATATTTGCAATAAATAATAATAATAATAATAATAATAATATACACTTAATGTCTGCTCCCGAGGGAAATAGTTAGTTTTGTTTTCCTGAGAATCTCAATGTTTCCCGAGACAAAGTCGAGGGAAACATTAAGATTCGAGGGAAAACAAAACTAACTATTTCCCGAGGGAACAGGCATTAAGTGTTTTGTTATATAGCGACGAACAAAAATCAACTTCAACAACATTCATACAACAATTGTATTTCGTGACAAAAACTCTATAGTGTAAACGAGTTTAAAATTAAAAGAACCTACTTAAACGGTTTCAGCAGCATATCCTGTTGCCTGTTGTGTATTTTTCTTCTCTTTTATATTCTTTATTTGAACAAACTTGGAAAATCGTAGTTTCTCATTATCTGAGTTGCGCCTCCATTTTTTTTATTTATGTACGTGGCTGGTCGGGGCGGGCAACAATTTTTCACTTGTTGCCCGGCGGGAAACATTGCATTTATCTGAAGTCACGTGATCACAAATCAGCCAATCACGCTTGGTATTCACGCTAGCTATATAACAAGAATCTTTATTCTATGGTTTAGCATTGTGATTGGATGAAAGTGCTCATGCATGCATTCGCAGCGAGCTGCGAGGAGCTTCGTGCGAGGACTGGAAATCCGCCTTTAGACTCTTTCCTACCCAACATTTCAATATTTTAGTATTGGCCAACAATGAAGATAAGTGTTGTTACTTACAGTTTAATGTGACTATAGGAAAATTGAGAAATTGGAAATTTGATCCAGATCGTCGGAAAGGGTATTTGGCCATGTCACCCCCCCCCGCCCCCCGCCCCCCTCCTGCCACGACACGTCTCGACGTCTTTAGTTGGTCGATTGTTAACTCTAATTCTGATTTAGAGCATAGAATTCATTTTTATGCCCCGAGAATGATCTGAATTTATGCGAGTGGGGAAATTTCGAAATTTTTTCACTAGTTTTTATACGAATCAATGTCCAGATATTAAAATGTAATTGGCCATGTAAATGCCACGCAATGCATCGAGGTGCATCCGTGATGAATATACGAACAGTCTAATTTCAGACGGATCGGAAGTCTGGCTTAAGAGGGGTTGCTTGCTCAAGTGGACATTTGTTTTACTTGGTTCCAGGCGATACGATTACTGCCCGGATTACAGCCTTCTCGACAGGACATCGTGGCTCGTGGCAAGGCGCTGAACTATACATGTTACTGGAGAACGTGTTTGCCATAAAAAAGGTTTCGCCAAAATCATGTCGGATGTTGGCCTTTACTGCCCTATATGGTTCTTCCAGGCTCAATTGAGATTTTTTAACAAAAATATTTTAGCTTTTTGGAGTCTCTGCATTATAGTTTCGTAGCTTGAGTGACAATTTTTTTAAATATTTTATATTTAAAAATCTTTTTTGACCTTTGACCACTTGTTCAAAAGTAATATACGTCACTATTGTCCGGAAAGGACAGAAAACCTCGAAATTACGAAATATATTGGCAAAAGCGATATTTGAAACCACAGCTAACAGGAAGGATGTTTCACATTTCACATATTATAGGTCTCCAAAGTCTTGTTGCCCAAAGTACATCAACTTTCGTTTCATTAACTCATAAACTAGAAATACATGCATGCAGCAACCCCCCGCATGTATTTTCCAAACATTGATTTAACATGAAGTATTAATAATTGATCAACACTGAACCTGTGTGAACCTGGGACTGAACGCAGGCTCGCGTTTACGTCAGTGTTTCCATGGCAACACGATAAATTTAATTTTTATTATATTTTTTGTACAACACGCCAAAAATAGTTGAAAGATTATTGCCTTTAACTATAAAACAATGAATTTCCGAAATATGTACTGTAGTTATGTTGTTCTGCATTTTGTGAGCTTTGATTTAAAGTAAAATTTAACGTGAATCGCTTCGTAAAATGTTTTGAAATGTTCATTTTAATGTTAAACTATAAACTGCTTTTTCCGATATAAAACTGACATTAAACTATAAACTGCTTTTTCCGATATAAAATTGTAAGGGTTTTTATATAGTTTATAAAACAAAGTTCGAATTGTCGAGTAAATTCAGTTCGGTTTTCAAATGAATTTGCTCTCCTTTACATTTTACCTTTTATTCTTAAATTAAACAGGGTAATTTGCAAACTTTAATACAGCTTCATTGAAAAGGAGAGCAGTGCATTTTTACGCAATCAATTTAAAAAGCAACAACTCATAAACATTAAACATTCAAAGCAAACTTGCCCTATATTCCACGATTTTCCACAGTCAATCAATTCTTCTCATTTCTTCAAACAAAAATTGCTTCAAGGCTCATTGTGTAAAACGTGATTTTCCAAATATATGCTTTTGAAAATTGAAATCTTGCTTATCCCACTCCTTGCAAACAGCCATATTTTTGAGATCAGTGAGGATGACCACCCACGGTTGGTGACCGACGCCCGCGCTCATTGATGAACTTTAGACTTGGCTAATGCTTCCCTTTCCCCGGTTGTTAATTAGCGGGGAGAATTAGTACCCTCGCACTGCGCTTCGCGCCGTCGACTCGGGGACAAAACGGTATTTTGATCTATAACCTACCATGGCAGTACCGACCAAAACATGAACTTGTGAGCTCGACAACTGGCCTCTACAGTTCAGTTAGCTAAAGCGCTGCGCCTGGAAGGGCCGCTGGTTCGATTCCTGCCAGAGGTCCTATAGTTGCATTTTTTCGCAACATGTAATGTTGATTACAATTACTGCAATTACTTGTTATAACTTTTAGTCAGCTGTGATGATTGCGTTAATGGATGGGCCTTGTCAAAAAAGCTGTTCACTTCTTTCGCGCAACTGAACCTTTTGTTCATTTGCCGTCAAAATTGACAATAGTTATCGGACAGTCATGCACAGGGAGCGGGATTATAAGACTACTTGCGTTTAGTACAGTATACAGCTATTCCAATTAAGGTTGTCTACGAGCAAAGCGGAAAAGTCGAATACGAGCGCGAAAGGCTGCTGGGAATCGCTTTGAAAATTCATTAATTTGTTAGCGATTCCCAGCAGCCTTGCGCGCTCGTATTCGACTGTTCCGCTTTGCTCGTGGACAACCTTAATTGAAATAGCTGTATACCAAAGCAATCAAACAGTTGAAAACCCACAGCGCCTATCGAATGAAGCTATACCAATGTGAACAGAAAACTGACAAGTTCAAGATAAAGAATGTTCTCTCAGAGCTTCAATTAAATTAGAATGAAGTGAATATATATTAAATTTTACCGAAGATAATCAAGGGTGCAATTGAAACGAACGCGGCGCTGGCCAATCACAAAACAATCACAATCAACCCACCCACCTTGCTTTGGGAATTATCTCTCTTTTAAATCTTTATTTCAAAATAAATTCTTACCTGCAGCATGTGCAAATTGAACAAGGCACAGCAGCAACAAGATTTTGGAAGACATTTTTTCGTTCAATAATGACCACAGTCACAGAACTTCTCTCTTCGTTAGGAAGGTTCGTTAATTTGATGTGCACGGCTTGATAGTCAGATTATGCTCAGAGTTATCTCTATAAATAACGGTGGAATTTACCGAAGTTTGAAAAATGTTCATCCATATCATTGTATAACAAATTTTCACACAAGATACACTCAACTAAGAAAACCGCGGTTAAATATTTCTAGTTAACCTAGAAAGAACCCTATATTTGGGATAACTTTTAAATATTTCTGTTTTAATTTCCTGGTGATTTTACCGCACTTTCTGCTATAAGGAAAGCAAAAATTTACACGTTGGCATATAGTTTATTTACAGTATTAGTAGATCGTTCACATGCAAGATTGGGCAAGAAAGATATATTGTGTCAGTTTGATCATTCAACTGAATATATCAAACACTGTTACTATAACATAAACATAGATACGCGTGCAAAAAAATTGGTCTAGCAGTGAAAATTATACAACTAAGTAGTTGGTTGGTTCAATTAGTTAGTTTGTTATTTAGTTAGTCAGTTAGCTAGTTAGTTAGTTAGTTAGTAAAATAAGGTAAAATGATAAATTTCGATCAGATCCGGTCTGATGTAGGCATACATTTAGCCTGCATGCTCACAGACGTTATAGTTCTTTCGCCAAGCGACGAAATACTACCGTCTGCTTACCCGAGCTGCATATTCAATTCCCTTTGGTTTAGGAGCCAATCATCTGGCATTGTTCAAAAAAGTTAGAGCCAATTGGAAGCCGCCTTATTGAGAGATTAGCTACTGGGGAAAGTCCTTGCACATGCATTGGAATATATTGTTTGGGTTGAAACTTGAAATTTGTTTACTTGCGTGGATATATTTTGGAAACTATAGCGTTGAACTTCACGATGTTTACGTAGAATAATATTGTGATCATCTTCTCGTATGTTCAGCAAACAATCGGTGTATATAAAGTGCTAAAGCAATGCAGTAGGCGAAATTTAAATTTTTGTTAACAATGACAAACAATCAATCGGGAAACTCGAGTATATCAGGATATGTCCAAATGTTGCTCTTGATACTTCCTATATGCCATGACTTCGACGAAAACTTCTAAAAGATTAAGCTTTCATTGTCATGTAGAAAAGTATAGCCAAGTTAGAGTATAAACGTTTCGAAGTTTGGGCGAATTGGAAAATTCATCACGGCGCAATTTTAATACAAGTTTCTCGGGTTTGTTTCTGTCTTCCGAGTTCTGTTGTCTTATATAAAGATAAACCGTTAAAATTTCAGCGAAGTATACAGATACAGATACAGATATTTCACAGCACACTACTCCCTATCAGGGCTACTCAGTGACTGGTTACATTATGAAAATGTATTCGGCATTTGGTGCTGTCTGGCTAAGATTCATACAGTATATTAAATATGCCAATCCTGTCCGCGTTTTAAATATAACCGAACATCTTTAATATCCAAATATGATCATTAATGGTGCATTTTATTACCTGGACAACTTATGTGCAATTTTGACCAAAATGCAACCGACGACTGCTTTCAAAATATATATTTATATTTATTCCGCTCCTAAATCAACTGACGTCACTTTCCAGAATTTGATTTTGGAATGTAAATTCTGATTGGTCGACGTGGCGGAATTCAGTTTGGCGCTCGGGTAAGCAGACGGGAGTATTTCGTCGCTTGGCGTAAGAACTACAACGTCTGTGAGCAGGCTAGCATACATTAGACAATTTCGATTATAGTTTATTTTTATTTATTGCATGCATGCAAGTTTCGTTCTCAGCTTATAGTCAAATATCCAACATTTCCGTTCCACCCACCTGAGAATATTCCAAGAAGACGTGCAGATGATTGACAAAATTTTTCAAGAACACTCCACTACGAACTCGAACTTCGTTGTGAACTGTTTAATTGAATATAACCACTGTTTTATATCTTACGCAAGGCGTGCACGGGACCATTAGTGTGGACCATCAGCATATCTAATGATCCACGTCCAATATTGCATTGATAGCCATGTGCACGACATGTTGTCAAGATGCTGCTCCAAATCTCCTAAACCATATTTCCTACTCAGACTAGCGCTTCCGTTACGCCTATTGCTTTTCTCCTTGCTCTCTTAACTCTAATATATTCGGCAACTTTCCAAACACTTTCACATTAAGTTCGCAATGCACAAAACAGTTAAGTCTAAAAGACTACAGTATACCAAACAATACACGTGCATGTGCAGAAACGACCGGGAACGCCAGTTATAATTTTCTGATCATATCCAGCCCGGAATGTTATGAAGGGTTTTCCAAAATACAGTATGCCATGAACTATATATTTATTGCATTTATATATATATAATCACCATATTCACAAATAACAACATTTTTATACTGGATGTCTGGATCGAACAACTGTGATATTGTTCAATCCATTGCATTTACTTAACTGATTGAAATAACATTGCAAATTGCGGTGCATGCATGTGCCAAGTTTGGCACAATGACATGTAAAGACTGCATGAGTGCCTGTTGCAAAAAATTGACCCCCTAGTATCCGTCAAAAGTGCATAAAATGCGTATGTTGTGACATATACAGTACAGAAACATATATTATTATATATGACGACAATTATGTTATACGAGTGTGATTTGTGTTATTTGGTACAAGATTTTTAGTCCTTCAAAATTATTGGGGGGGGGTTGGCCCAGTGTCCCACTGGTTAGCCAAGACAGTAAATTCAGCTTTTAAGTTTGAGATTAACGTTTGTGCCTTGCGGTACACATGGATCCTGCTACATTTTATTTCTATTTTTATAATATGTGAATTTTAGTACACATGCCCTTGAAAAAATTTCTGCATATTTTTACATGGCCCACCCTTATGAATTGCAATTAACTTTCGATGACCCACCCCTTCAACAGTGCTCAAAAATAGTGCCCCCTATTTCTCCAAGCCCACCCCCTCCCCCCTTTTACTTTATGACTGGTCCCTTATTTTGATACCCGCAGAGAAACGAGAAAAGTTTCTCGGCACTGGTAACGTGCAATTAGTGAAGCGATAAAAAGCTTAAAAACCAATATCAGTTTTGCTTTGCTGCATGCTGTCAAAAGTATAGCCTATTTGTGTTTCCAAAGTGAAAACCCTGAGTATCAGGTTGTGTCGTAACTACTATGCAGAGACAATCTGTGCATGTCCAATATTGCATTTTATGCGCTTATAGAGGTTGAAGGTATGAGGTTTGAAATAAGTAACGACCTCAACTGAATAAGCTGTATTATTTCCCTTTATTAGAATCACCAATTTTAAGACCTTGTGTATAAGCACACATGTAATCTATAGATTCCTATTGCATAACAACCAACCCCAAAAGCATTAGTCTGTAGAAACATGCAGTGACAGTGACAGTGACATATCCAATCAAGAACACTGATTTAATTAGCTGTACCTCAATAAAAAGACGCTGCACGTGTATATATAGGGATAGCATTTCATTCGTATAAATAGTGGGTAAAAATCTATTTCTAGGAAGAAGAGTTATTTATGAAATTAACAAATGAATATATTTTTATAATATTCTAGATGTTTTTTTGTTTCAAAGAAGACAATGATTCTCATTGATCTTGAACCGGCACTTATAAACATAGGCCTATATAATAGTAGTGCCTGCAACTATAATATTAATATTTTTCTTGTTATATTATTATCTAATTCTTTTCACTAACGGGTATATACGACGCTGGTAATCAAACGAGAAAGAAGTTCCTTTCTTGCTGATATCAATATACATTTCTTGTTATTTTGATACCATCGCAGAGAAAGGTATGAAGAACTAGCCTACAACATAAAACTCAATAATAATATTTATAACCGGAACTCAGTATTTGCATGAGAAAAGACAAAAGGAGACAAGATTCAACAGTAATATTTCGAATTTATTACAAATTCACCATCGCAGACTAATTTTACAAAGCTTTCATCTGATGGCAAATTTGTATAATAAATTCCTAATATTACTGTTGAATCTTGTCTTCTCTTGTCTTTTCTCAAAAATTGAGTTCAAGATGGAACTTCTATTTCGACTATGTTTTACACTTTATAACACTTTTGCTTCACTGCATGCGCCATTTCTATATACGCGGTATCTGTGTGTTTACAAGGTCATAAATTATTGTCTAATAATCCTAAAGCCGGTTTTCCACTAGGCGGAATTTTGCGCGCGGAGCGGAATTTTCTTTGTCTTGTGATTTCGGGTGGAACCACTGATCTGAATAACACTGGATCACGCATGTGGTGAAAATGAATGAAGCCACCGGAAGTGACGATTTGGAGTAGCAAGATGGCGGCCAACAAAGGCCAATTGCCTAGAGCGCGCCAGCGCGGGAGTTTCAAAACTACGAAAGAATCTTTAAAACAATAAGTTATATAAGATATGAGATTTTAATTGACGTAACTCCTTGTAAGAAGAATTCTCCGACAGAAAGTGAAATGAATGCCACAGATAGAGCATTAAATTTCGGGGATGGACAGCTCATATTTTTTCTTCGCAGACGTATATGAAATTTGTTTATAAACACAAGTCAAGAGACAGTTTTTCACTACAGTGTAAAGCAAGAGACAATTAACTTGGACGAAGTATTTTACAAAACATCTGTACGATACTCTTACCTCAAGAATATTGTTAAATAATGTTACTTGTTCGAAATTTGAACAAATATATTTTTATCCACTTTTGCTTGAATGTCCGGCACTTTTAATGTCCTGTGTAAAGTGCCCTGTTGTAATTTTTCTTCACGATTGGTAATATTCAATTATTTTTATAACCGTCTATCTCGTTTATTGTCTACCTTTTTCTTTAAATTCGACTTTATAGTCGAATCAATATTCTAACTTTTGCAAGCCAACTTGGGTTTCGTATTTATAGTGTAGCAAGATGTATTGCGTGTACTGTATTTCTCAAAGCTACAAAGGTTTGCAAAGATTTCAACAAGTGTTTTTTGATGAGAAAAGTCGGAAAATGCCAACTTGTGTGGTGCTTGGGTGCAAAAATATCCAGTTCCGAAACTGCGGAAAATCCTTTCACAGGTTTGTAAAATATAAAACTCATTTAATTCGCATGTGAAGGGGAAAAAATTGCCTCTTACGAGAACGATAATTTTTTTAAGGCAAATTATAAAAAAATTATTGCAACCCTGCATCCTGCGTTTAAAGCTGCACTTTTTCTTTGGTTAATTATAAAACCAACCACATAATTATAATAATAATACACACACAATATATAAATACTTTGTGTTTTTTGTTTATGTATTGTCATGCAATTTGCAACAATGTTTACGTTTTGTATATTATTAAAAGTACAAATCATCGCCATTTTAGATACTTGTGTTGTGCATTGTACAATGAAAACAAAATAAAACACATTTTAGCAGCTAAGTACAGAATGTTCTGAGCATTTTTTCTCAATTTGTTTTTTAATTATTATCTTCGCATTCATTTAAATACGAAAACAAATAAAAAAAACCCAATTGTTTGGGGAGGGATATACATATACACACTATTTTATGGCCATGTTTCACTAGTGAATTTTCGTTTAAACTTGTTTAAAGAACATGAATATTGTAACATTCATAAGAAGGGACTGCAGTTTATATCATTAATTTGACTCCATAGCAAAATTGCATAAAAGCTGTATAATAGTTCATTTTTTGTAGGTTTCCATTCAGTCGGCCACAGCAATTACAGTTGTGGATTTCTAGCCTGGGCAGAGCAAACTGGTATCCCACAAAAACATCTGTAATTTGCTCAGATCATTTTGAAGATTCCTGTTTCGACAGAACTGGTCAAACCATAAGATTAAGAGATAATGCCATTCCAACCACTGTAAGTTTCTATATAAAATACAGTAAGAGGAAGATGAGTTCAAGTAAAACTTATAACATGTCAGTTATCTACATGGGCGTATCGGAAGGAAAAAATTCGGGGGGCGGAAAAAAAATTGCCCAACTTTTTCGGATTGTGCCCGCGTTGTCAAAAAAAATTTCCGTAGAAACTTTCCAAAATTGTTGTAGACGGGGGGGGGGAGAGGGGGAGGAGTGATTACGAAAAATTCCTATTAGATAGCATATTTCCCACAAAATTGACATTATTACCCACAAAACTGACAGAATTTGTCCCATTTATTTGTATAATAAGCTAATATTGATCGACTGTGAAGCGAATATTGCCCGACTGACTTTGTTTGCCCAACAAACCCACTCCCCCCCCTGCCCGGTACGCCCATGGTTATCTAATAATGGCTAACCATGCTGAGCTCAACATGTAAAGAAAAAAAAACATAAGCTTACCACTTACATTACTAGATTAAAAATATATTGAGTTAATGATTTAATATTTAAACAACTTTAATTCAGATATCAACTCTCGAAAACAATGAACCACAGCAACATCCATTTTCAACTGAACCTCCTAATGCGTCTGATCATGAATTTCATGTTACATCAAGTCCAAATACCACTACCATGAAAAGAAAATTGGATGAGGCTTTGAATAGAGTTGAAAACCTGAAGAAAAAATTGAAGGTGACCCAACAAAAATCACGACGACTTAAAAAGAAGGTGCAGTCATTGAATGATGTGGTGAAAGCACTTCAAAATAATGGTTTGATATCAGAAAAATGTGCATCTATTCTTGAAGGGACATGCATGGGTGTGCCAGATGAGCTAATGAGAAAGGCTGTAAGAAACAAGTCGAAGAATATATCTAAATCAAAATACCCAGAAGTGCTCAAGGCATTTGCAACCACCTTGCAATTTTATTCCACCAAGGCCTATAACTATGTAAGACGCACATTCCACCTTGCGCTACCACATCCAAGCACAATACGGAGATGGTACCAAACCATCAACGGCAAACCTGGGTTCACACAGGAAGCTTTCCATGCCCTTTCAATGAAAGTTAAAGATGCAACAAAGAGGGGTGATGATGTTCTATGTGGCCTGATGATTGATGAGATGGCAATCAGAAAGCATTTGGAATGGGATGGACATAAATATGTAGGCTTCACAGATATTGGGAATGGTATAGATGACGGCAACGACTCTTCACCATTGGCAAGTGAAGCCTTCGTATTTATGGCTGTATCACTAAACAGCAACTGGAAAGTACCTTTAGGATACTTCCTAACTGATGGTTTGTCAGCATCAGAAAGGGCAAATCTTGTGAAAACATGCCTGTTGAAGTTGAGTGATATTGGAGTAAAAACAGTGTCACTGACATGTGATGGTCCAAGCTGCAACCAATCTATGATAAAGTTGCTTGGTGCTAAGCTAGATGTTGATGACTTGGATCCATCTTTTGTACACCCAGCTAATTCAACCAAAAGATCCATGTTGTTCTTGATGTATGCCACATGCTGAAACTGGTACGTAACACCCTGGCAACACAAAAAATTATTACTGATGGAAATGGTGGCAATATTCGGTGGGAACTGATTGAAGAACTGCACAAGATCCAGGATGAGGAAGGGCTACAACTTGGAAATAAGCTCAGAGGGGCACATATTCAGTGGGCAAAACAGAAAATGAAGGTTAACTTGGCAGCCCAAACAATCAGTGCAAGTGTGGCAGATGCTATAGAATTTTGTGATCTGGTCTTAGAGATTCCTGCCTTTCACGATTCTGCACCAACTGTCAAGTTTATCAGAATATTTGACCATCTGTTTGACATTTTTAACTCTAGAAATCCCTATGGAAAGCATTACAAAAGCCCACTGCGAGAGTCAAACAAGCAAGCATGGCAACCATTAATTCCTAACAGAAGCAATGCAATACATTAGTACTCTCACCGACTCCTGTGGTACACCAATGGTGAAGACAAAGCGAAAAACTCCCTTCCTAGGTTTTCTTGTTGCTATCAAGAGCATCGAATGTCTGTTCAACGAGTTAGTCAGAAACACAAATGTTTCTATGGCATACCTGTTAACATATAAACTAAGTCAAGACCACTTGGAGTTATTCTTTGCAGCAATACGCTCGTCAGGAGGTTGGAACAATAATCCGACAGCAACACAATTCATGGCTGCCTACAAACGCCTGCTCCTACGTCACGAAGACAGTGCCTCTGGAAATTGTACAGCATTAGATGCTACAAACATTCTACATGCTGTAAAAGATACCACAACCATCAACCATGTTAATGCTGATATTGATGTTTCTGACATAACAACCATCCGAAGATATGACCTAAATGTACGCCTAGAACCACAACAAACAGATCATGATTATGTGGATGCTCCAAATTTTAACTATTTAAGCTCTTACAAAGAAGCAGCTGTTGGTTACATTGCAGGTTATGTGGTCAGAATGGTAAAACGGTCAGTAACTTGCGAATCTTGCATTGATGCTCTCGTGGAGAAAGATCCAAACAACACTAAGTTTAACTCATTGGTGAGACAGAAAAACCATGGAGGACTAATTGAAGCTTCTGCAAGTGTTTACCAAATTTGCCAAAGCACAGAGCAATGTGTGGTAAGAATGCTTCATTCAACAGGGGGAAACTTACCCACATCATCAAAGATTGTCCCACCAATTTCATCAGTGGTCTTGGAAGAAGCTGTCAAGAAAAATGCATTTTCATCTCTCCATGATCACATGTTTGACAACTCTCCTGACAACAACCATCTCTTCAGGCTGATAAAATGCATCGCCAAATGCTTCTTAAAAATAAGAATGCACCACCTAGCAAAGGAAACAACTGCAAAGGTTAGAGGAGAAAACATTAGGAAAATAGTATCCAAGACAATCCTATTTAAAAACCAGTAGACAATTCATGTTTGACGGAACATACTGAACATTTTAAGATTTTTAAATTCGCCTTATCCTGTACAGTTTGTGTTTGCAATATAAAATTACTTACTATTTTATATTATAAAATGTTATAAATATAACAATTATGAAGCTACATGTATTCAAATATGTAAATATTGATGATAAATAGTGTTTATTTGTAAATACTATTGAAAATTGTTATCGAAATACTAATACCCATTCTCTATTCGTCTCAAGAATAAGTCATGCATGGAAATAAAAACCAATCCAAAAAATATGTAAAAACGTACCTTTTTAAAATATGATCACCCGATCTGAATCATGAACTGACAGTGATCAGGAAGTTTTGTTAGTTTGTAGAATCGTAGTTGCTCTTTCAATATTATAATTAAAGGCCAAAATGTTACGCTTTCGATCGAGTATATTTAAAAAAACACCGAACTGCGCATGCGTTGGCAAAAGCAAAACAAATTGTTTGAAATATTTTATTGTTTCGTCTATAAAATGATGATTTTTTCGGTGTTTTTGGTGGAAATGTTGATGTTCTTCATAGTGGGATACAAAAGGTGTGTTAGCGACTGAATAAGGAAAATATTGGGTGTGAAACAGGGTCAGTATAGAGCCGGCAGGAGCCGCGAAGAGTGCTGTTGTCGAAGAAAAATGTCGCAATTAATTAATTGTAATCCCGTGATTCTTGTCTATTCACCTCTGTGTCAGTTTGAAAAAGCTTTAAATGTAGAGACATTTGTGGTTACTCCAGCATAATTTAGCCGTTTAACGCTATTATGTTTCTAATGGTTGAAAGAGCGCGTGGAAAGGACAATTTAAGAACAAAAACAATTACAATGTACTGTGTGTTTATATATTTTGCTACTTTGCTACTGTAGTATTAAAATACCTGAAAAGAGTCTCAATTCTAATATTAAGTCGGTTATAAACCTTGATAATATTAAAGTTTTCAGAAGATTTGTATATCAGAGGAATATTAAAAGGAATTTAGACTTATAAAACATATCATTAAAAATATGAATATAGTGAATTTGTATTGTGTTATCATCTCTAGAAATTGACAGTTTATAAACCAAATCCTTGTTATATTTTTTAACTGCCCTTATAGCTTTCCTTATATGTTTTAATATTTGCCAGCAGTTTAGTAGGTTAGGGATGCAACAGCACTTTTCAAATTATTGAATTATAACCAAATTTTGTATCTGGATAGGAATTACTATTAAAGATTTACAGTTTGTAATGATAGAATTGGAGCAAGTTAAGCTGCAATGTGCCTCAGTTTGCCCTACTTTGTTATTTTAAGCTGTTTAACGCCATATTTTAAGCTGTTTAACGCATGTGTTGTTTTATAGTGTAAATAATAAGTTTTGATATTGCAATCAAACTGACAGGGTAGTTGTCATGACCATGGTAATAAAAATATTTCTATGGCTCGGCATTTATATTAGGCAATTTTTTATCATTCATCACAAAATTATACCTGCACCCTAGGTGGTTCCCTGCAGGGGTCATAACCAGGGGAAGCTGATGAAAATGAATTCTGGTATTGGTAGCTGATCACTATCATTTAATATTTTTGTGAATAGAACATTTCTTAAAAAAAAGTATATGAATTTATTAAAAATATTTATATGGTCTCCCAATCTGGAATTCATACTTTGTAACATTTGGATCAAAAGGTTTATGATGTTTTCTTGGACAGAATCCAATTCATACAACCTCGTGCAGAGCTTCTTTGAATTACTGTGTGGACAAGATTAATGAAGGGATTGCCAATTTGGCATATTGTACTACTCAATAAATTAAAATCATTAAATACTTTATGCTACAATTAGCTGTAATATTATACTGTATATTATTGTGTTTCATATGACATCATAAATTTGATGGGGGGTCAACTCTAAATCGAGACACAGTCATCAGAGTGAATTAATTTTTCACTGTATGTGTTGGCCTTGTGTTTGGTGGCAAATACATGCAATTTCATATCATTTGCTCACTACAGTACAGCATAAGCAACAATACATTTTAGGTTGACCCCCCGTCATAACGTGCAAAATGCCATAGTGAAACCCAAGAATCATTATATGTATTAGGTGTATGCAGACTGGAATACACGTTAATATCACTGCCTGGGAAATTGTGGTTTATTTAGAGAATAAAGGTTTTTTGAACTCTTCTATAAATAAATTATAACAGCAAGATTCATATACACACATATAGGGAAGGGTTACATGCTACAAGTTAAAATGAGTATTACATACTCCTGCACTTGAAAAGTTTACAGTACAGTATATACATTGAATAATAAAATATATAACAGTATTAAAATCCCAAGATTGGATTTATTGAAACTAGTCATTAGCTGTTAAGTAGTCATTAGCTAGTTCTTTGCAATTAAATAACACAAAGACAAATTAATAAAAGTTATTAACCATTTCTGACACAAATAGCATTTGCAAAATATAGCACATATTTGATATTATAGTCAAATAGTACAGTGTACTCACTGTACTGACAGTACTGTATACTATGTATAGATTAAAACTACAGAAAACCTGTACAACACAAATATGAGTAAAGTTTTCACGCTCCATTTAACTGTTGTGATATTATACGCATTAAGTATACGTTTATTTGCATTTCCTTCGTAGTATTAGTATATAGCACAGCTCTGAAAACCAAAACAATATTCGTACACTCCTAAACGGCCGCCATGTTGTATATAAAAATATACGGTTAAAAATTAATTTTTGCAAAATTGCAACATTCCATTGTATTACCAGCAACCGATCATATTCATTTCTGACATGGATTATCCCAGAGCCTTCGTTTCCTTCCCAAGGATCGCAGGCTCGGGGAACGAGATTGCTTTCTTTCTAACATTGTGATCGAGAGTAATCGAGAGTTATTTTGTGAAAATAAAATGGGAAAATTTGCTACACAGAAGCGTAAAAAACGCCAATTTTGTGGCAATCGACATACTAAACGTTCTCGTGTTGAATATGAGGGAGAGGGTGAGCCAGTAATGCAAGAAAATAACGAGGAAAGCGAGGTTTCTTTGAGTGCTGATAAGGGCAACGTGGGCGCCATTCCAGCAGGAATTTCAGTGTCCTACAAGAAGCTTCAGCCTCGTGTTCGGCAGAATTCCAGCGAGAAAAGAACCCCTAAACCTTCAACAGAAAGTTCTCAAGGCACTTATGGATTCAGGCTTTGTGATATGGTATGGATTCAGGCTTTGTGATATGGAACTTATTGGAAATGTTTTTTCCATATTTGTCAGCTTCCCAGAGTGTATACAACACAATGGAAGAAAATAGTATCAAACGTAAAGGTTGTGCTTCTAAACTTCACCTCACTTGCCAAAACTGCAAATGGATGCATTTGTCTTGGATTTCAAAACGAAAAACAAAAGTTTTGAAGTAAATTGATGATTAGTGTATGGGAATGCAAATGATTGGCAAAGGTCATGCTGGTGCATCAAAGGTTTGCTCTGTCATGAACATGCCACCACCACCTAGACCAAGTCTTTCAAGAAGTCATCTTGTGTCATTGCTAAGCATGCAAAGACAATTGCTAAGAAGAACATGAAAGCAGCTGCAAAATAAGTGTGTGTTTTGCAACAAAATGAACATGTTAATGGAACAAATCCTGTAAACTGTGGTATTTGATGTGACGGTACCTGGCAACAAAGGGGACATTCATGTAACGGGTGTGTTACGGTTATGTCGATGGATACCGGGAAAGTTCTTGATGTTGAGACACTGAGTCACTGACTACATTTTGCAAAAGAGGCAATCATTGAACTTTTAAATCTACTGGATATTACTCCTGGCAAGTATACAGAAGTGGCTTGTCAAGTTGAAGACAAGTTGAGAGTTTCGCATGCAGAACACAAATCCACGCCCGACGTTAAAAAGAGGCGTAAAGTGATGAGAGGACTGAAAAAAACAAAAGTATGACAAAAACAAACCAGGGGAGGGAGTAAAGTATGGTGCTGGAGAGTTCTATTGACTTTTAGGGACATGAAGTGTTTTTGGTAGCCAATTACATAGTATGAAAAGTTTAAACTGTATTTTCTCCAATAAACGATTTTCGCAAGGTTTGTAATCTGCCAACAATGATATCTCAAAAACAATTTAACAGATTTGGCTAAAATTTTCAGAGGATGTTTACTACATCAAAAGCTATGCAATTAACTAGAATGAAGTCATTAGGTCAAATACTTTTTGTGCTATAAGCAAAAATTCATGCTGATCATGATTAAATTTCAGGCACACATATTGTTTCATTCAGAACTTAGAAACTATTTATCTGATTTAAAATCTTTTAGTTCATTGCATGGGTCTAGTAGTGCTTATTATTTTCCCAAAGTTTCATAGACAATTCTCAAATTCATTAATAATTCATGAGTAATTCAGCCAATGATAATCACCTATTTGATCACAAGATGCTATTTGGATACTTGATGAAAGTCACTAGTGTTTTCATCAAATATCTTAATTACGCATGCAAAATTACTTGAATAGAATTCCTAATTACGTTATGCTTGGTTAAGAATTCTATTCAAATCAGCAAACGAAAACATTCTGTTACGTCTCGATTCATTTGAGAAGCCATATAAACAACTCGAGCTCGTGTCTCACCGGGATACCCAAACACTCGAAAACAATGTATGAAAACACTCGCGCTTCGCGCTCGTGTTCTCATACATTGTTTTCTCGTGTTTGGATATCCCGGTGAAACACTCGCTCTCGTTGTTCATATATTACATCTTAAATTGCTTTCGAGTTATCATGTTTGGCGCAATGGTCCGCTGCAAGGCGTTTCGAGCTGTTATCTTGGTAACCATGGCAACAGCATCTGTCGAACTCACATAAATGTAAATACTTTTCTATGGGCTTTCATAATATACCATTTAAACTTTATTTCTAGTTTTAAATATAAAAAAAAATTTTGAGGGTCATTCCACCAACTATTAACTC